TGAGAGAGAAGACAGAGAGAGAGGTCTTCCTTCTGTTGGTTCACCCCCTAAATGGCTGCTATGGCCAATGCGCTGCGCTGATCCAAAGCCAGGAGCCAGGTGCTTCCTCCTTGACCATTACATTTTCAAAACATTTTTCTGGGGCCGGCATTGTGGCATAGCAGGTAAACCCTCCACCTATAGCATCAGCATCCCATATGGGCGCCAGTTCAAGTCCCGGCTGCTCCACTTCTGATCCAGCTCTCTGCTGTGGCCTGGGAAAGCAGTAGAAGATGGCCCAAGTCCTTGGGCCCCTGCACCCACATGGGAGACCCGGTAGAAGCTCCTGACTCCTGGCTTCAGCCTGGCCCAGCCCTGGCCATTGCAACCATTTGGGGAGTGAAACAACAGCTGGAAGATTCTCTCTCTCTCTCTCTCTCTCTCTCTCTCTCTCTCTTCCTCTCACTGTAACTCTGACTTTCAAATAAATTAATTAAATATTTTTCTGTCCTCAACTTCTGTCGGGGACTTTACCCACACACATATAAAGCCACTTGAAGTTCTCCTATAGCCCACTGAGATTCTTTGTTTTTGTTTTAAATTAAATTTTAGAATGTATTTATTTGAAAGGCACACAGAGAGATTTTCCATCTGCTGATTCTCTCCCCAAGTGCCCACAATGGCCAAATCACTATGTTAAATGCCTTTCCCATTTTTTAAAAAAGATTTTATTTATTTATTTGAAAGGCAGAGTTACAAAGAAAGAGAAAGACAAAAAGAATCTTTCATCCACTGGTTCACTCTCCAAATGGCCGCAATGGCTAGAGCTGGGCCAGTCTGAAGCCAGGAGCCTGGAGCTTTTTCTAGGTCTCCCATGCAGGTGCAGGGGCCCAAGGACTTGGGCCATCTTCTATTGCTTTCCCAGGCCGTAGCAAAGAGCTGGATTGGAAGGAGAGCAGCTGGGACCAGAACCGGTGCCACAGGCAGAGGATCAACCTACTGCACCACAGTGCCAGCCCCATTAATTATTATTTTTTAAAGATGTATTTATTTATTTGAAAGGTAGAGTTACAGAGAGGCAAATACAGAGAGATCTCCCGTCCACGGGTTCACTCCCCAAATGGCTGCAATGGCCAGAGCTGCACTGATCTGAAGCCAGGAGCCAGGTCCTCTTCTTGGTCTCCCATGCAGGTGCAGGGGTCCAAGGTCTTGGGCCATCTTCTACTGCTTTCTCAGGCCACAGCAGAGATCTGGATTGGAAGTGGAGCAGCCAGGACTTGAACTGGCACCCAGTGGGATGTCAGCTCTGTAGGCGACAGTTTTGCCTGTTAAGCCACAATGCTGGCCCCAGCCCCATCTTTTTAAGGAACCCTATGGTAGCGCCTCGTTCCTTCCTGTCCAGCACCTCTTCACTTCCAGTCTCCAGGATCCTTCTCCTCAGCCCTGCTTTTCTTATCTAAATCTGGACTTTTGGGGTTCATGTCCCTTGCAACCAAAACAGACCGACTACCGTACCCTTCTCACATCAGAACTTGTCCCGTGTCGGGGAGCGAGAAGCAGGCTGTCTCAGCTTGGATTCCCCCTCTCCCCAGCTGCTGCTGCTGCTGCTCCGGAGGCTGACCCTGGGCTGCAGATGAAAGGGCAGGTGTGGTGTTTGTGTGTGTGTGTGTTTTTTTTTTTTTTTTTTTTTTTTTTTTTTTTTGACAGGCAGGAGTGGACAGTGAGAGAGAGAGACAGAGAGAAAGGTCTTCCTTTGCCGTTGGTTCACCCTCCAATGGCCGCCGCAGCCAGTGCGCTGTGGCCGGCGCACCGCGCTGATCTGATGGCAGGAGCCAGGTGCTTTTCCTGGTCTCCCATGGGGTGCAGGGCCCAAGCACCTGGGCCATCCTCCACTGCACTCCCGGGCCACAGCAGAGAGCTGGCCTGGAAGAGGGGCACCGGGACAGAATCCGGCACCCCGACCGGGACTAGAACCCGGTGTGCCGGTGCCGCAAGGCGGAGGATTAGCCTAGTGAGCCGCGGCGCCAGCCAGGGCAGGTGCTTTCTTAAAGAAGTCTTCGGATGAGGCCGTGAGCCCCAGCCTGGTCCTGGGCGGAGCTCTGGCGTTCGTGTAAACACCACCTTGGCGTTCATCTCACCTCAGAACAAAGTAGCTGGACTTTTGTGCTTACACAGCAATTGCTGGGTAGGAGCCTGCTTGGGAAAGGTGTGGCAGAGCATCAAAGTTCCCCTGGGTGATGGGTGCAGCAGTGAGCCTTGGAAGGGGATGGGAGTGAGCCGCTGGCGGCAAGACCCAGAGTCTGGGCTCACAGAGCTAGGGCAAGGGATCCGAGCGCCTGGGCAGGGCACAGAGCCGAAGGGAACTTCTGGGGAAGCCTAGGCCATCCCCGCTTCTTCCACCCTGCCCGCCTAGCAGAGTCAGAGTGGACCACGGTGCCAGTGTCTGTGTTGAGTTGAACCACCTGATCCTACCGTCCAAAATTAAGAATATCACCAGGATTCTGCAGGCTGGAAAGCCATCAACTTCTTTTCCTTGTTGTTTTTCTTTTTGAGTTTGTCTATTTTGATTTTTGTAAAGATTTATCCATTTATTTATTTATTTATTTTTTGGACAGGCAGAGTGGACAGTGAGAGAGAGAGACAGAGAGAAAGGGCTTCCTTTGCCGTTGGTTCACCCTCCAATGGCCGCTGCGGCCAGCGCACTGCACTGATCCGAAACCAGGAGCCAGGTGCTTCTCCTGGTCTCCCATGCGGGTGCAGGGCCCGAGCACTTGGGCCATCTTCCACTGCTTTCCCAGGCCACAGCATAGAGCTGGATCAGAAGTGGAGCAGCCAGTACTTGAACCAGCACCCATATGTGATCCTGGCTTTGAAGATGGTGGCTTTACCCACTATGGCCCCCTATTTCCATTTGATAGATAAGGAATCTAATCTGACAAATAGTGGAACTGGGATTTAAATCCAGGCTATGTGACTCCAGACCCTGAGATCTTACTCTTTAAAAGGTATAATTAACAATGAAAGGCTTTAATTTTCTGTGTGTTAAATAAGCAACAGAGATCTGTGAAATTAAATGCTTAGGAATACAAAGGAAAACATGAGAAACAGTTTTATTGTAAATATTCTAACACATTTTCTGAACAAGTAATCAAAAAATAAATAAAGACATAGAGGATATGAATATGAACATATAAATTTTTTTACCCTGAAAACAAATGGTATGCCTATTTTTCAAGTTTCATGAACAGTGACAAAATTCAATAAATATTAAGCTATGGAGAAAATTTTGGTAAATTTTGAAAAGTAGAAATTCTAGAAGCCACTCTGATCAAAATGCAACTAACAATAACATAAAACACACCGCTTAGAAATTTAAAAACATATCATATTACCATCTCATATTACCCTTAGGACAAGAAGTCAAGAATAAAAACCAGACTAGGAAAGAATTTTTAAAAGTAGGGTACAGCCAAAGCTATATGAAGAGGTAAATTAATAGCACAAAATACTTCTAGTGTCAAAAAGAGAGAAAAATAAATGAATGAATGAAGCACGCAAGTTGGGGTTTTGGGAAATATTGTAACAGCAGTCCCCTGAAAATGGGAGACAGGGAGGACGGGAACAGGAAAACAAGCTCCCCAAAGCCTGAGAGTAGGTAGGATGTGCTTCTGCCTGTGCAGGCAGCCGTGCCCTCAGGAACATGGTCCCCGCCCGGGTGCTCCGTCCTCGCTCGCTCTCAGTGCTCCTGCTCCGCCTGGTTTTCTCCTTGACTCCCAGGGCTTCAGCTTCCTTCAGCTTTATTCTCCAGATACCACCACTTCCTTCTGTACAAACTGTGCTCCCACTGTGGCCCACTACATGTTAATTCTTTTTGTAAATAAAAAAAAAAAGTATTTATTTGAAAGGCAGAGAAAGAGAGAAAGATACACTCACACACACACGTGCACACACAGAGAGAGAGGAAGAGAGAGAGATAGAAAGATCCATTGGCTCACTCCCTAAACAACTGCAAGAGCCAAGGCTGGGCCAGGCTACAGCCAGAAGCCAAGAGCCAGGAACTCCAGCCGGGTCTCCCAGATGGATGGTGGGAACCTAAGTACTTGAGCCATCATCTACTGCCTCCCAGGATTCCTTAATAGGAAGCTCGATCAGAAGTGGAGTAGTTGGGACTCGAACAAGGCCCTCGGGATGCAGGCATCCCAAGAGGGAGCTTAACCTGCTGTGCCACAGTGCCTGCCCCTCCACGACTAATTCTTTCCAGTCATACTTCCCTTGCTTGACAGGACAGAGACCATGTGTCAATACTCACGGTATCCTCAGGGAGTGACAGGCGTTGGGTCCTTAATAAACATTTGCTGAGGGGGCCAGCGCTGTGATGTAAGGGGTAAAGTAGCTGACTGCGGTGCCCTGCATCCCATATGGGCGCCGGTTTGAGTCCCAGCTGCTCCACATCTGATCCAGCTCCCTGCTAATGCACCTGGGAAAGCAACAGAGGACAGCCCAAGTGCTTGGGCCCTGCATCTGCGTAGGAGACTCACGCTTAGGCCTGGCCCAGGCCCAGCTGTTGTGATCATTTGGGAAGTGAGCCAGCTGATGGAAGATTCTCTCTGCCTCTCCCTCCATCTCTCTCCCTCTCCCTCTCCCTCTTCAATCTGCCTTTCAAATAAACAAATAAATGCTTAAAAGAAATAAACATTTGCTGAATGGAAGAATGGATGGGCTCAAGCACTGATTCCTGAGTAGCATCCGGTCCCCAGTGTTGCTTCTGTCCCCACTGCCCAGCCACAGGCCCCAAGCTGATGTCGTGAGGCTTGGAATGAAAGACTTCAACAACAGGAGGACTAACTATAGAGTATCTGCCTGGTGAAATATTATGCAACCAATAACGGCTGTGCTGGTGGTGTCAATAAAACATGAGGACGTAAGGCTTTGATTTTTTTCTTATTTTTCGGTGACTAATCAATTTTTTTTTTTTTTTTATGAAATGGAAAACAGTTTTCTCTGTCCTCAAGCCTAGCTCAAGTGCCACCTTCTCCAGGGACCTACCCTGATTGCTCCAACTAGGAACAGTCTTGCAATTCCTTTCTCCTACAGGTTCTGTCCCTCCTGCTCTCTTAAAATTTCTGCCTTTGGTTGTGTCTGCCAGCAGGCTGTCGGCGCCTCGTAGGTGGGTTTCTTTCACAACGCCACCACTGAGAAGATACACTAGGCTGTTCATCCACACTTGAACCCATCTGCGGAGGGGATAAGATACAGGTTTGAATGGGTGGTTGTCTGGGTGACAGAGACCACATTGAACCTGAAGCACAGGAGCAGAGGCTCATGGTCCCCAGCCACTCCGGCCAACCTCAGGGACCGGCCCATGCTTGCAGCTACACTGCCCTGGGCTGGGGAAAGGGCCCAGAACCAAGGCGTGTGGCCCTAGCCAAAATGAGGCAGGGAGATGAGGGTTTGCGATCACATTAATTGGGGCTGGTAAGTGCACTGGAGACAGGTGTTCTGATCAGCTTTTGTGCACCCAGATGAACAAGGAGAAGGCATTCCAGGCATGGGAACCCAGCTGAGCAATTCCCAGGGGCAAAGACAGGCAGATTCACTTTAGAAAGAAACAGCATTAGCCGTTCCCTCCAAAGCTGCCTGTGGCCCTCCAAGTCAGTCTCCTTGGCTGTCAGAACCACCTTTATAAAACACAACTGCTGAAGACTCACTGCCCCACTCAGAACTCCACAAGGCTCCCCCGCAGCGCTCAGGATTTGGCCTGACACCCGGGCTGCATTGCCTTCCCCTGCCACACGCCTCTACCTGTGCCCAGAGTAAGCACCTTCAGGAGTCATGTACCCCAGTAGTGTCTTAGATCAAGACCATGGGTCCAAAATCATCTCCATGTGGAAGCGCCTAAATTTACTTCTAGCCTGGACTTCTCTCACCAGCTGCAGGATTTTATATATGTAAGTGTGTGTGTGTCATACAGCTTCACCCAGCCACCCTGCCATCCCTGGTTCTTCTCTCCCAACCACTCACCTATTCAATGCACTAAGTCCTGCTGAGTCTCGCTCCAGTGTTTCTTACATCTCTCCGTCCCCTCTGTCCTGTATGTTATCTGGGCATACATGTGTCTAAGCCACATCACCCATCTGGGTTACACAAGAGCCTCCTGAGGGGGCTTCCCGCCTCCCTGTTTGCATGTCCACAAGGCATGGCAGTCAGACTGGTCCTATATGCAAGTTGAATCCTGCCACTCACTCCACTGGAGATGACAAGGCTTCTAGTTTCAAGGGGCTCCCACTAGCCAGATCTGGGGCAATTTAATATGTTAATAACTAATTATAAAATTGTAGAAAATAATAGAAATTCAAGAGTTCCTCTTAACAGTAAATTATAAATAAATGTTGTGAAGAATGTCAAGTGTTAATAATACACATGGAGGGAGTGCTGGAATTGAACACTTATCACTTTGTAACCATCACAGATAAAGGTTTATTGAGGCAGGGGTCATCAGTAGATGTGAAACACCATCTATTCAACTGCTGATTGGAGCAGGGTCGTCTTCACAGTCTCAAAGTCTCTCCTTAAAGATTGTTTATTAGACACAGAGGAAATCGTAACTCTGAAGGAGGCATCAGACCACAGTGATCAGAATTAAAACCACCACAGAGGGACAGGTAAGACACTGCTGGGCCTCTAGTTTGTACACCGAGAAGAACACACCATCACGTATGCCATCTTCCAGTCAGGAATGCACAGCTCACACACAACAGTGAACAAACTGTGGAAACCTCCACAATGAGACCAGTCTATTAAAATAAGTGGCAAGACCACACTCTTCAATAATGCCCGTGGCATAAAGCAGAAAGAAAGGCAAACTACTCCAGGTCAAAGGATATGCAGAAGAAATGACAATGTAATCCAACATGGAATCCCAAGACCAGATCTTGTACCAAAGGGGAAAATGTTATAGAAAGCACATTATTGAGACAATTGACAAGGTTAAGTGGTGCACTAGCTACCATATTGCATCAATGTCAAATTCAGTGGAGTGGATAACCGCACTATGGTGGGAGACAACACACTGTATCTAGGGGTACGGGAATATGACGTATGCAATGTATCCTCAAAAAGTTCTGAATAAAAATCACATGTATACGTGTTAAATACAGAGAGCAGGTCGAAAAGCAAATGGGGTTACAAGGTTAACAACAGGTGAGCCCGGGGGAAAGGATGTCCTTTGTACTACCTGTGACTTTCTGGTCACTTTGAAATGGTCTCTGACCATGGCCCACAAGGTCCCTGCCACCATCCCTGTCCAGCCCTTCCAGTCCCATCTCCCGACACACTTGGTTCCAGCCCCATGGGTTCACTTGAGTTTTCCCAACATCCCAAGCTCTTCTCCCATCTAAGGTCTCAAGGATACAGTAATTCTCTTTCTCAAAATGGTTGTCTTTGTCTCCCCCTTCCCCAATATCCCCAGGTCTAATTTAGAGCTATTATATTCCTTTCGGAACTTTTCCTTCATGCCAGTTATCACAGTTTAAAAAGAGTTTGCCTTTTGGGAAGTTGGCTTAATGTCACTCTTCCCTGGGGGTCTAGAAGGTTCCCTTGAAGCCAGGGATCCTATCTGTTTGACTGGGGGACTGCTCTACCCGTGACCATACTCTTAGGCTGGGCACTCAGTAGATAGCTGAATGATTAAATGATGAAAACATTCCATTCTCCAGGGTCACTCCCAAACTGCTGGCACCTCAGAGAAGATTCCCTGAAGCCCATCTGTAGCCCCCAAGAACTTTTGACTCATGAGACTTTGTCTTTCAAGGTTTCCTGGACTCCCCCACCACGACGCCAGCATCCAAAACTCAAGAGGCCATGGGACACAGGAAGGGGGCACCCAGGAGGTTAGGTGCGTTAAGGGAGTGCGCAATCAGTTGGGGAACCTGAAACCTCAGAGGCCAGGTCGGTAGGCAACTGGTTGACCAGGCTGGTGCTGAGAGGGGCAGCTTGGGTTCGAAGGAGAGATGAGCAGTTGCTGAGGCTGCTGGCTAAAGAAGACAGATCTCTCACTTGTGCAAAAGAAAGAAAACAGAGTCCCGGATGGGACCCACGGGGCCCTGACTTAAGGGCTAAGCAGAGAAAACAGCCCTGGAAGCAGTGTGCAGAGCAGCAGGAGTGGTCTTGGGAGAGCGAGGATTGTTCCCGAAGGCAAGAGAGGAGGACACTTAGGTGCTAAAACCTCACCTGTTGGGGTTTTCTTCTTCCTGGTTTAAGACCAGCAATCGGGCATCTGGTGGGCTGAGGCAGCTTGGTGTGGGTTAAGGGCTTGGATGCTTGTCTGAATCCCAATGCCATGACAGGTCAACTGTGTGACCTCGGCAATGGACTTCTCTTTCCTCCCAGACTCCCAGCCCTTACCTGCAAAACTAGGGTAGTGCTAGTGTTTATGGGGCTGCCGTCAGGATCACAGGAGAATGCCTCTGGAAAGACCTCTGAGCCAGGTTTGGCCTACACTCCACGGGATGAGCGACGACATCACAGGTGCATGCCCAGCAGGGGCAGATGCGCGCTGGCTCCCCCTAGTGGGGAGGTTTTCCAAGTTCAGATCCGACACCTGCAACAGTGGGCAGGTTCCATGTAACACCACCCTTCCTCCAAAGCCTCCATATGACAATGAGCTGTCTCCCCACCCCTGGGCAGGCCCCAAATCATCTCACACTAGAGTTTGTTCACTTGCCTGCCACTGACTCTCACCTAAGTGCATGCTACACCTATTTTCCAGCTAACTATGGTAACCCTGCTTCCTCCACATGACTACCTTCTATGGATACAGGTAAGTTATTCTCGGGCCCCTTCCTTGGAGATACCATAAAGTTATGCACCTAACTGCTGTAAAGGAAAGAGAAGAGTGTGTACACCAATTCACAGCTTAGAAAGTACTTCCCCCCACCTCCCTTTCCTTCTCCAAGTGCCCTGGGGAGGTAGACACCGCGGTTCCTAACTCTACAGGTTCACACTGATCAAACATTTACAATGCACCCTGCTCTATGCTGGGAATGTTTCCTGGGTGTTCTCATTTCAACTCACTAAAACCCTGTGAAATAGGTTGAATCAGTGACCTCATTTTACAGAGAGAAAAAATGGAGTGGTGAGAACTTGCCCCAAATCAAAGAGGTAGTAAGTCACGCAGCCAGGAATCAGACCTTCGACTGACGCCAAAGCCACATTCTCCCTTCACCCTTTGCCTCCCAGAGTGAGCATTTACACACATTCTTCCACCCACTACACTGATGCTGAGAGAGGGAAAGGGACTTGCCCAAGGTCTCACAACCAGGCTCTGGTAGATCCTTGGATCCTCTGGCTCTGAGGCCCCTGAAACTGGGAAGCGGCCATGTCTTCCCTTGACCATGACCATGCTCTGGGTAATACACCTGCAGTCGAGCTGCTTTGTCAGTCTTGCTCAATCCATGGTACTGCTTCTATGCAGGAAATACTCTCGGCGTTTAGTGGGAAATGTATGTGTTGCTGAATTCCAATGAGTCCAGAAACACAAAATGAGAGAAAGCGTCCTTCTCCTGCGAGAACTAATGCTTCATACTCAACACAGAAGCATTCCTGGTTTGAAGGAATCCACTGATGTCAAGTGAAAAGCAGAAGGAAATGCTAACCCAGAGGCTACAGTTAAGACAGGCATTCCCGGACCTTGGTACAGGTGTGGGAGAGATGTCCCAATCTGGTTAGGCTTTTTAGTAGTTGTTGAATAGATTAAAGTGAATTCATGGCCGTGGATGCCTGTTAACAGAAAGTAAGTATTAATGTGTTTACAGTCATGGTGTATTTTATATAAATTCTCTGAATGATGTCCCAAGAAAGAACATGTTTTGGAAACAAGTCCTCAAGTTGGCAATTTCAACTCAACTTGGTGTAGTGCTACTACTCTGATTGAAGATTTAAACTTAAAAAAAAATTAACTAATAATGTTTGCTGGAATGTCTCAGCTTTTAAAATCTGCTGTGGCCTACAGATCTTTGTAACTGTATTTCTGCCATTTGGTCTTTAGCCAAAAGGCTGACAAGTGATATGTGTATTTCTCGTTTCAAAAAACATTCAGAAAGTTATGAAAAATACAGAAAAAGATGATTTCAAGAATCCCAATTTTTCATTCCCAAATCCTGAAGATTACTATCCACTGGGAATTTGGAAACCTTAGTCCGGAGGAACTGGATGAACTTCCCAAGCAACCCAGCGGGATGACAAATGGCCAGAGACCATCTTCCTTGGCCTCAAGGAAGGTTCCACACAGGAACCGGTCCTGGAGCAAAACTTCCTTAACCATCATCAGCCTGGAGATTATCCCAGGGACCCACAGGCGGAGCCTAAAGCACTGGCTGTAATTATGAGAGTTCATCTCAATCATTGGTGCACATGCTAACTCTCATCCCAGGGAGTATCTACTCACTTTAATCCAAAAAGTGGTGCATATAATGGCGAAAAATGGATGTCCTGTCAAACCCACAGCCTGAACCTCACGGTGTCCCACGAGAAGTGGCACAGTAGGGCAAGCTGACCTGGGTCTTAATGCTGGTTCTGCAACATACCCGCTGTGCGATTTGGGGCAGGTCCCTTAATCTCTCCGGAACTTAAGTTTCTCCATCTGTAAAATGCTGATAACCAGACTATCTATGTCACAGAGATACGGTGAGGGTTAAGTAATTCCCGTAAATCACAATGCCTGACACACAGTAAGCCCTCAACAAACAGGACACGTTTCTATCTCTGAGCATGACTCGCCCACTAGTGAAGTCGGGAAGCGGGAGGTGGGTGAAAGCCCTTTGGAACCACCGAATGGCTCATTCGCCCCGGTGGAGATTTCCAGGTAGGCTGGGCTGGCTCAGGGCTGCGCCACAAGTCTCTCCCCTCCACATGGGTCCCGGGTGCGAAATGGGGATCTGGGCTCAAAGGCCTCTTGCCTGCGGGGGTTGTCAGGTTGCCTGGTGAGGTTGGCACCTGGTGTTAAGTTCCTGATGCACACGCTCTCGCCCTGGAGGTCACCCGGTCCACACGCCTATTAGCGAGGCCCACCTGCGAAGGGGCTACGGAGACACGCCGCACGGGGCCTCGCGCATGCGCGGGCCTAGACGCACGCGCGGACCTCGACGCATGCGCAGGCCTCGACACATGCCTGGGCGTCCGCAAAGGCCGTGTCGGTGTCGTGAGGTGATGCAGGCGGCTCGAGGTCAGCATTTTCTGCACCCTTGCGCTGTGGAAACCTTCCGCCAGTGCGGACCCTGTGGTGTTGCGCTGACAGGACTCGGCCCTCTCGCGCGGGTGGAGGACGCTGCGGCACGGCGCGCATCCTCAGCGCTTGCGGTGGGCAAGGCAGCCTGGTGTCCCTGCTCCCCTGCGCTGGAGGCGCGGGAAACCTCGCAGCGAGGCAGTCAGGGTGTGGTCCGAGTTCGTCTCCGAGGCCTTCCCACACTTTGCGGGCGCCGGCGGGCCTGCTGTCTGCGAGAGCCAGTGGCGAGCGGGGTGGGTGCTGTGACCGTAGTGGGTTCTAGGCAGCCGCAGAGCCGCTCGCCCGGGGCGTTCCCGCGGTGGGTGTGGAGCCGAAGGCCCGTTCCGCCCTGGGGCATGGCAGGTGGCCGGATCTTGGGGCCTCTGCTTGCCTGGGGAGCCCGCTCACCTCCCTTTCCCCTGGGGGATCGTCCTTGGCGCCCTGGGGGCCTTGCTTCCTCCCCCGGGAGCTCGGGTATCGGGCACCGAAGTGGGCCGAGCGTTTGTCCGCAGGCCCCGCCGGGGCAGGAGCCTCCTGAGGGGCTCAGGCTTCAGGCCCTTCTCATGGAGGGCTCTCCTTGTCATTCTCACTCCCGAATCCTGCAGGGAGAAAGAAAACCGGGGTAGTGTTTCCTCTCCTCATGCCGCCCAAGGCTTGGAAGACCTTGCCTTGGGAGTCCTCAGTGGGGCAGCGCGGTGGCAGGGCTTTGGCAAGTGACTGAGTTTTTGTATTTCTGACAAGGCTGAGACAGCACCGCGTGGGGTTACCTGTAGGGGCTCTGTGAATGATAACAGAGCTAGTCTTCAATCCCAGTTCCCACCACATTTCATTGCAGTGTAATTTTTGGGTAATCTACATAATTCTCTTGTAATCTCAGTTTATTCGTTTATAAAAGGAAGATACCGGGAAGGATCGTCAGCGTGGTCGCTGAGTCTGCAGACCAGCAGGGTGCAGCAGTAGTATGTTCCATTGGAAAGATCAGTGTCAACTTTTATCTTTAAAAAGTTTCCAGCTCTCACCAAGTGAGGTCCAGTACTTTTACTCCTCTACTAGCACTCATGCATATCCCCAGTACCCAGATATTGGTACCTAAATATACTTACCATTAAAAAAGTTAGGAGTCCTTGGAGGGTAGCTGATTTCATTTTTTTTTTTTTTTTTTTTATTTGAGAGGCTGAGAGGGGCAGACATTTCAGAATTGCTGGTTCACTCCCCCAAATGCCTGCAATGACCCTGGCCTGGAGCCAAGATACAATCCAGATCTCCCACATGGGTGGTAGGAAACCAATTCCTTGAGCCATCACCACTTCCTTCCAGGGTCTGAATTAGCAGGAAGCTGAACTAGGAGCCAGGAGTGGAACCCAGGCACCCTGATAGAGGACATGAGCATCTTTTTCTTTTCTTTTAAAGATTTATTTATTTGAAATACAACATTACTGAGAGACAGGGAGAAACAAATCTTCCATCTGCTGGTTCACTCCCCAGATGGCTGCAGCGGCTGGGGCTGGGCCAGGCTGAAGCCAGGAACTCCATCTGAGTCTCCCATGCCGGTGGCAGGGGCCCAAGGACTTGGGCCATCTTCCACTGTCTTCCCAGGTGCATTAGTAGGGAGCTGGATTGGAAGTGGAGCATCTGGGACTCAAATAAATGCACTCATATGGGATGCCAGCACTGTAGACAGCAGCTTAACCCGCTGTGACACAGGCCCCTGTGATGTGCACATGTTAACCAGCATCTTCACTGTTAGGCTACACGCCTACTTCTGATTTAATTTCTTGAGACAAGAAGATTCAGAGATGGGTCTGCCTCATCCTCTTGATACCAGAAAGGAAGGATATTTTCAGGGGTAGTGCTACAAAGATGAAAAATGGACTACCACTGTCTGAGCGGGCACAGGCTGAGCCCCTTACCATATATAACAGTCATGCTCAGGCAATGAGAATGCTGTGAGTCCATAAGCCACTAAGAAGTCGAAAGTTACTTTCTACAGAAAGGCAGAAAGAAAAGGGATGACAATAAGGCATATATAATTTTAATAATTGTTAAGAATAAAAATGGCAAAGCAGTTGAATAGACATTTAACCAAAGAAGATACATAAGAAGATGCTCAAAATCACCAGTTATTAGGAAAATTCAAATCAAGAGCATGATGATACCGCCTCATGCCAAGCTGGATGGCTACTACCAAGAAACCAGAAAATAATGAGTGTGGGTGAAGATGTGAAGAAACTTAAGCCCTTTATTGGTGGCAATGTAAAGTGGTGTAACTGCAGTGGAAAACAGTATGGCAGGTTCATCAAAAAGATGTAGCAATTCCACCTGCTATGTATATACACAAAAGAATGGAAAGTAAGATTTTAAAGGTTTATTTAAACACCCATCTTTTTTTTTTTTTTTTTTTTTTTTTGTTTTTGTTTTGACAGAGTGGACAGTGAGAGAGAGAGAGACAGAGACAGAGAGAAAGGTCTTCCTTTTGCCGTTGGTTCACCCTCCAATGGCCGCCACAGCTGGCCGGCGCACCGCGCCGATCTGAAGCCAGGAGCCAGGTGCTTCTCCTGGTCTCCCATGGGGTGCAGGGCTCAAGTACTTGGGCCATCTTCCACTGCCCTCCCGGGCCACAGCAGAGAGCTGGCCTGGAAGAGGGGCAACCGGGACAGAATCCGGCACCCCGACCGGGACTAGAACCCGGTGTGCTGGCGCCGCAAGGCGGAGGATTAGCCTAAGGAGCCGCGGCACTGGCCCAACACCCATCTTCATAATAGCATTATTCACAGTTGTCCAGGAATGGAAGAAACCCAGGCATCCATTGGCAGATGAGTGTAGTATTTACATTGAAGGCAACATTCAGCTGTGAAACGGAAGGAAATTCTGACCCATGCTTCAACATGGATCAACCTCGGGGATCTGTTATGTGAAATTAGCCCATCACAAAAGAACAAATACTATATTATTCCGCTTATGTGAGGTACATAGAGCACTTTGATTCATGGAGACAGAAATTGGAATGGTGGCCAGAGGTTGCCAAGACTGGCCGGGGAGGGGAATATGAAGAGTTTTTGTTGAATGTGTATAGTTTAAGTTTTACAAGATGAGTGAAAATTCTGGAGATAGATGGTGCATGGAAGTACATAATGCTGCTGAACTGTACAATTAAAATAGTTAAAATGGTAAATTTTATGTGTATTTTTCCACAAATACAAAAAAAAAAAAAGGCAAAACAGGTGTCTGGTGTAGCAGTTAAGACAACCACATTCTATATTTGAGTATGTGAGTTGGAGTCCCAGCTCCAGTCTAGATTCTAGCACCCTGCTAATGTTTACCCTTGTGACAGCAAGTGACGGCTCAAGTACTTGGGTGCCTGCCAGTCACATTCAGACACCTAATCTGCCTTCACCTGGGTGTAGCCAGCATTTGGGGAATGAACCAGTGCATGTGAGCTTTATCTGTCTGGCTCTTAAATGAAAATAAGATAATACAATATACACTGGATATTCCTTAGTAATGAATATCTAGTGTATTCAGATTTTGAGTTGTCACATAAATGTCATAAATTTGTTTACTTGAATCAGAATTCAGTAAGATCCATTTGTTTGATTTTTCTTAAAAGATTTATTTATTGAAAGGCAGAGTTACAGAGAGGGAGAGATAAAAAAAATCTTCCATCCATTGGTTTAACTTCCCAGATGTCCACAACAGCTAGGTATGGGCTAAGCTGAAGCCAGGAGCCAGGAACTCCATCCTGATCTCCCACATGGGTGTCAGGGGTCTGGATACTTGGGCCATCTTCTGCTGCCTCCCCATGCACATTAGCAAGAAGCTTGATCGGAATTGGAGTAGTCAGGACTCGGAACAGGCACTAACAGTATTAGAAGCTACAGCTTGGGGGTGGTGTTGTGGCACAGAGGGCTAAGCTGTCGCATACAACACCAGCATCTCATATGGGTGCTGGTTTGTGTCCAGCCTGCTCCACTTCCAATCGAGATTCCTGCTAATGTGCCTGGGAAAACAGTGAAAGATGGCTCAGATACTTGGATCCCTGCCACTCAGGGGAAACCTGGAAGAAGCTCTTGGCTCCTAGCTTTGGCCTGGCCTAGCCCTGGGTGTTGGCCATCTGGGAGTGAACCAACAGACGGAAGATCAATTTCTCTCTCTCTCTCTCTGGCTGTCTCTCTCCCTGTCTCTCTCTTTCAAATAAATAAACCTTTAAAAAAAAAAAAAAAGCTGCAGCTTAACCTGCTACACCACAGTGCCAGCCTCCTTAACTGATTTTTATATGGATGTTAATTTTTGAGCCCTGGTACCTTTCCCAGAGATAATACCTTCAAGTTCTGTCAATACCTGAGCCATTGTCCATTCATATATGTTAGACTGACTTGGTTTGTTGGCATGAATAAAAGCTGTTCCATTATTAACTTACAACTGCTGCCTCCAGCATTAGCAGGAAACTGGAATCCAGAGCCTGAGCCAGATGCTCTGATGTGGGACATGGGCATGCTAACCAGCAGCTGAACCATTAGGCCAAGGGCCTGCCCAAAAGTCTTTGTCTTTTGTGGAGTCATAACATTTCATCTGTGGTGTCTGGGATTTGCTTTAAAAATAATACGTGGAGAATCAGAGGCCATGAGTTGATCATTGAGGAAGCTGAATGATAGGTTAATGAGAATTCCAGATACCATGATTTTACTTATGTATGTGTCTAGAATTCTTCATAATAAAAAGGTGAGTTTTTTTTTTTTTTAAGCATACAGAGAAAAACAAAGTTAAAAGCACCTTGGCCAGTGCTGTGGCACTGCCTGCATCCCATATGGGTGCCAGTTTGAGTCCCGGCTGCTCTACTTCTGATCCAGCACCCTGCTAATGTGCCTGGGAAAGCGGCGGAAGATGGGCCAGATCTGTGGGCCCTGCGCCCATGTGGGCGACCTGAAAGAAGCTCCTGACTCCTGGCTTCAGATCCACTCAACTCCAGCCATTGCAACCATTTGGCAACATTTGGGGAGTGAACCAGTGGATGGAAGACCTTTCTCTATCTCTATCTCTGCCTCTACCTCTCTGTAACTCTGCCTTTCAAGTAAATAAATAAATCTTAAAAAAAAAAAAAAAAAAAAAAAGGCCGGCGCCGTGGCTCAATAGGCTAATCCTCCACCTTGCGGCGCCGGCACACCGGGTTCTAGTCCCGGTCGGGGCGCCGGATTCTGTCCCGGTTGCCCCTCTTCCAGGCCAGCTCTCTGCTATGGCCAGGGAGTGCAGTGGAGGATGGCCCAGGTGCTTGGGCCCTGCACCCCATGGGAGACCAGGAACAGCACCTGGCTCCTGGCTCCTGCCATCGGATCAGCGCGGTGCGCCGGCTGCAGCGGCAGCCATTGGAGGGTGAACCAACGGCAAAGGAAGACCTTTCTCTCTCTGTCTCTCTCTCTCACTGTCCACTCTGCCTGTCAAAAAAAAAAAAAAAAAAAGCACCACATGGTAACAAGATAAACTTTATCACAAAGAGATGCTAGGGGGGCTGGTGCTGAGGCATAGTGGGTAAAGCTGCCACTGGCATCCCATATGGGCACCAGTTCGAGTTCTGGGTGCTCCACTTCCAATCTAGCTCCCTGCT